TTCAAGACACGTGTTAGGCTGTGGCAATTGGAGAGCTTTGCTTAATAAAAATCATTTTAAAGGACCTTTTTTATGTCTTATGCATCAGAGAAACAAACTTTTACATTACTTTATAATCTTTTGTGGATTTGGGAGGTGATATTTAATTAGATATCCAGAGCATTTGCTGGAAGGGGTAAAGCTACCCTGCTAGTGAGATGGAGAGGCAGGAAATCTCTTCTGCAGTGCATTTGCAGCCCTATGGGCCTTTATTATTGAGAAATCCTGTATGCCTGTTATTATTTCATCAATTCAATTTGAACCATACTTTGGCTTCAGTCTGTTCTATTCTACATAATCTACTTTTTCAGTAAATCTGCTTCACTCTGCAGTACCCTCCCAAAGTAAAAGTAATCCAGATAGATGATGATAAGCCATATTTTAGTCTATGAGATACCTTTTCCATTACTCTCTTTTTGATCCTTCTTACAGTCAAACCTCTTGTTCAATCACCCTGCCAGGCAGTATAAAAAAGTGGGAAGAGATGGCCTTTTAGCCTAGGTGAGGTGAAACAACTCTGTCACAAAGAAATGCAATTGTATATTTTCTGCCCGGACACCGTATGCCAATTGCTTGACTTAGGGAAAATGGAAGAAGGAATTAGTGAGAGCCTGCAGTGCAGATTTCAGAGGTGTTTTTGTTCTTCTCACTGCTCTCTCTTTATCTTTTCTCCTGGCAAGGCTTTCTCCATCACACTGTGACAATTCTTTGGCACTGGTGTTGAATACAGACAAGTCCTGACGCAGTTGGGAAGCCTCTGGGATTCTGGGTAATAGTTTTGGGCGCTGCACAGCTTCAGAGTGTGCCTTGTGTGACTGCAGCCTCCCAGCTGAACCTGTGCCCAGGTTGATTCCGAAGATGTGCAGTGTCTACTCTGTGTTTCAGTTGCCAGACGCTGCGCATTCGTGTGTATCCCTCATTTCTCTGCAATTCCACTTTTTGTGCTGTTGTACTACAAAAAGGCAGAAAGAGTGAAACAGGTTAATAGCCCATGGAACACACACAGCATGTATTTATATTGGACAGGTAACAGAGCACAGTGTCAGTCCTGATGAAGCAAAAGCAACCCCTAAATTCTCACCTTCTAGACATTTTTCTTTGGTCTGTATGAAGAAAATAAACATTTTTCTCTTGGTTTCCATCCTTCTTTTGTGTATTTGCGTTGCAGGCTTTAGCAGTGTAAGATTAGCACATTTATACCTCTTGCCTACCTGTACAAATTTCAGAAGGATTTCTGCTCTCACTTGCTTCCTTTCTGTTTTTACTTTTCCTGGTGCCTTCTTTTGTCTCCTGTGCAATGTAAAACTGGTGCCATAAATATTGTGAAGTGCTGAAGGGCAATGCTGGCCTGATTATGGACAATTCTGACAAATGTTAACAAGGGTGGAGTCAAACGGGATAAAGAACTTTAATCTGAAGATTGTTTTTCCAGATGGAGCATCTTTGTTGCTGGGTGGAGAAACCTCCACTGCCTGTTACTTTCAAAACAAATAAATGACAAAAAAACCTCACCTCGCCCTCCTCCCCACCAGCCCCAGAAAAATTATTTCTGGAGATATTTGTGTATTGTTAACCAGGTCAAGAACAGAAGGTCTTCTTGTAAAAGCTGGGGAACATTCAACAGGCAAGAAAAATCAGTTTGGGGTGTGGAATGAGACCATATTAAGGAATTGTTACCTACATAATTTGAGTACATAAATTCACAATTTCTCTAATTGGTAATTTTACTGTTTCTCAAGTAATTGTCAGGAAAACAGAATCTTTCGTGGATTCAGCTTGTAAAAAAATTAACATGTATTTATAGAAATAATTTCAGTTTTAAGACTATGTGTGGCAAAATTTGATATATTTTAAAAACTTTTTTATGTAATAACAGCAAAATATGTCTCTAAAGCATGTTTTGGTATTTACTGTTTTCCATTAAATAGCCAGTAGTGCTGTGGGATTTTATTCGTGATTTAAAATGCATTGGTTGAAAGTTGGCATATAAATTGAAAGTAGAAGACAGTACACAAGGGATGGTGAATTTAGTACCTTTAGATGGTGAAACATTTTGTTCTCTTAATTAGTTAAGGAAGGATAAGTTAGAAAAATGAGTGTAGAAAATCAGAAGTGAATTTTAGTGCAAGTGTCCATCATAAATAAGCAAGAGTAAGCCAGATTTGGGGCTTTAAGAGATTTTAGCCTGCATTTTTGATTTCTATTTAATTGATTCATAAATCAATTAATTACTGTCACAAGACCCGAGGGCAGCAGGAAATTGGGTTCAAATTAAAAAGAAAAGGAGGCAATTTGTTTTAAGATTGAAAGTTGGATGTTCAATCGAAGTTTAATCAGAAGTGACCCATTATTTGAAAAGTAGAACATCAATGTCGTTCTAATTTCACAGAATGCTTCATTAAATGAGTATTGAAAAGACCAGGTTAACTGATCATTCTAAAAGGAACACGAGACAAAGGAATCTCACTTCCAAATACGTGTTGTGCTTGTTCATTTCTCTTCTGAAGAGTTCATAGAGATACCAAATAATTTCATTGAGAATTCAGGGATTATTGGGGTGGTCCTTTGTAGATAGTAATGTTTGTTTGATAAAACTTAACTTCGTATCAGAAGAGAAAATCTTCTTAATCGATTTGGATAGCCATGAACTTAAAGAAAAATCAACAGAACGTGATGAAAGGCAAAGGCAGAAATTTTCAAAGCACTGCTGGAAGTTGGGCCTCCTAAATTTTAGGATGTTTCACAGTGGTCTGACCTTGAGAAGGTTTTTTCATTATTTGATTCCATCTCCAGAGCATTCACAATGCACTGAAGACTCTGCCCTCTGAACAAGGTGAGGGTGCTGCTCATGCCTGGCTGGAGCAGAGGTGATGATTTGTGTTTAGGAGGTGAGTGTGGGAGAGAATGAGGACAACAACTGCAGCTGTGCCTCCTATTGTGGCTGAAAAGCATAAAGGAATAATACTTTTTAATGCTTTTGGATTAGCAAGTCTTTCTCTTGGTGTGCATTTACTAGAAATTTGCTTAGCAAATTGCTGTTCAAAAAAAGCCAAAATGCACTCACTTGTTGTGAGCTTGGTGAAACAACAACAGAGAAGTGATTCTGTTTCCAGCTCATGGAAGGTGTTGCTCTTGCTGTTAAATGCTGAGATGCTCTTGGAACATCATCTGGACCCTCTCTCTGCCTTGTGCTCCCTGGCATAAAGAGTGGGCTTCTGTTAGTTGGGAAGCTCATGCAACTTCCTCTGGTGAGCATAGTGCTTGAAAAACAGCAAAAGGCTAAAGAAACAAAGTTGGCATTTCTAACAGTTCCTTAGCTTGTTATGAGGGGAAAAAAAAAAAAAAAAGGCAGCCACAGCTGTTTTAAACACTTGCTTTTACAAGTGCACAGCAAGATGATTTCAGATGTCAGCAAGTTTTTTCAAACAGCAATCCTTTTCAGGATCTTTGCAAGCAGGGACTTGATTCCCTCATGAGCAAAACAACTCATCCCTTGTGATGTCCAAGTTGTTTTGCTTCATTTGCTGATCGTTGCCTGTGTAAGTTGAGTTCTTCCAAAGGCAGAGGCTGCTGGTTCACCTGGCCCAGGTGGGGTCTGGTTTGGGGTGGGAGAGAAGCCAGGTGAGCAGTGCCTCCCTGCTTTCCAGGCAGCTGATGCACCAAGCTTTACATTCCAAAGATATTTCCCTAGATGGAGCAATAATCTGACCTTGTGTAGCAAATCTCATTTGGTAGTCACTCCCTTCCAGGACTCTCAGTGAGATACTCAAGAGTGAATATAAATAATGCAACTCTCTTTAAGTTATTGATTGTGTTTATGTGACTGATGATGAGCAGCATTAGCACCACCACAGCAAAATGAGGATGTTCCTCAGCAGCCCCCCAGTCAGATGGCACAGCTCTGTACACTGCTATGCAACTTGAAACAAAGATGAATAGTTATGAGTTAATGCTGAAGTATGTATTTTATCTTTGTAATAAATGACTTTGTGCATCTTCTCCCTGAGACCAAAAAAAAAAAAATTCTGAAAGAAAAAATTACTTCATTTATTTTTGTGATGTTTCTGTGACAAGTTATGCAACACACAGATGCATCACTGAACACAAAAATTTATATGATGCAGTGTTAATTATTTAGAAAGTGGTGGGAGTTTGCTACCAGAAATAATCTCCTAGAAATGCATAGAAATACTGATAGAATATTGATCATGAAGGAGTTAATTTACAGAAAAATTCAACAAGCAAATTTACCAGCAATGTAATGTAATTCCTGCTTTAGGCATCTGGGCACCTTTGAGGCTCACAGGTTTGTTTTATACTGTTTTGCCTTTTTTTCCAGCCCACTCCTTGGTATTGGTTTCTTGTTTCCTTGTGACAACAAATGTGGAAATAATGTCTTGCCTTTTTTACAGTACAAGAAGAGGTGAACATTCTGTACAAACGATATATTAGATTGTCTGGTGTTAAAAGAGTGGTCAACATAAAGTATATAATTTTAGGGAGTTGAAAAAATCCCTTATTATGTAGATGGTATCACTGGATAGAGAAGTAGGATGGTTGGAGAAGATAAAAGAGTATTCCTTGATTATTGTGGTTACATTTCTCCTGAAGACTTAAATCATAACATAGTTAATAAAATGTCTGATTGCTGCTTAGCACAGAATAAAGCTGTGTCGATTTATTTATTATTTTTTTCTCCTGGTAGGCAAAATTTTTAGCTGTTTTGGGAAGCATAATTACAGAGACAACTGCCATTCCAGAAATAAAGTCATGCTACTTAGGGGTTTTTTGCCTTTTTCGGGGGCTTGGAATCAGTTAATGAGATCAGTGAAATAAGTGTCGTAATCATCAAAATTTAAGAAAGATTTGAAGGGTTTCTCAATCTATCAACAAAATTCAATAACCAGTTGAAGGAGGAAATCAGTGTAGAATCCTAAAAACCCCTTTCTTCTTTCTCACAGAATTCCAGCTTTCTCTCTGAAGCTCTTTTTCCTGTACATGCAACAAAAACTGAAGAGCTGGATCCCTCCTTCAGCCTGCATGAGACCATTGCAAAGGTAAGAGAAGTGGAGATCTCATTTATACATACTTTCCTCTTGAATGTGCTAATAATTTTGAAATATGATCTGTTTATTTCCCTGTGAATCCTTTGAATATAATTAAAAATTGTGGAGTTCTCTTCACTGGGATCCACGTTGGGAATATTCTTTACATTGGTCAACTTGTGTAATCAAGGCAGTTTCACGTGCAAATGCTTCACTTGAAACTATAACTTTCATTCTTATTTTTCACTGCAAATCACTCACAGTCTGCTTTGCTTGTATGGCCACTCAGGCTGGTGGAAAAGCTTGTGTTGATTTGAAGCCCTTCATCTCCATCAGGGAAATAGATTTTACTGTTTCTTAGGGTTTTTCCATGTATATGGGTTGATACTAAATAGCAGTGTAAAAGTTTGAGTGTAAATTTTACATGAGGGTTGATGTAAATACTAATAATCAGGTAACTGTGTGCTCTCTGATGTCAGTGGGTACCCTAATTTCATGGACACTGAAAAGGAGGAGATTGCTAAATGTGGCAGGAAAAAAATGAACGAGGTATGCAGCTATTAAACAGATGGATCTGTAATCTAAGTGCTTAGAAGATCTAATTTGTCAGAACAGTTCTCAGAACAATTCATATTAAGATCTTGGCACTGAAAAGGTGGATTTAGGGGGATTGCTGTGAGAACCGTGCTGATCTGAAGCATTCAAAGAAAGAGAAATCTCTAAGCTTCCCAGTGGCAAAGAACTGAAACATTCAATAGTGTGATGCAGTACAAAACTTGGTGGTACCTTAAGTGAGATTTGCAGACCTTGTAATTTCAATATAAAAATATATGTAATATCAAGTATTAAAATGGAGGAGTGTGTGCCTGTGTGGCAGAAAAGGGATTTTCCCACCTGACCAGAAGTCAGATAAAACTCCCTTTTTATCAAATGCACACTCAGAAAAGTATATGCTATTTTTAAATAAATTTCATCAGTGTTACTCAGCACAGTGTTTCGTGGTAACCAATCAATCCAGTTATTAACCAGCTTGAAAATACTTTTCTGTCCACTTTCTGCTCACCAGAGGACACTCATGAGACTGGGATCATGCAGTTGTGAAAGCTGGAATGGCAGACCCCTAACAGGGGTCTGGAGCCACTTACCCAGAACCATGAAATAATCTCATGTTGATTTTTACTCTGTCAGGCACCAAAGTCATGAAAGGCACACCAGAAGTGACATAATTGGTTTCATGATGAGTTATGGGTGCTGACAGATAACTCTTGAGAAAATTATTAGTGAACCTGATTATTCCACACTCCAATTATGGAATTGCATAAAGTAGAATTACTCTAATGCAATTAACTTCTAAACATTAAACAAAACAGCAAGAGGGAGGAGTGTTTCCATTTCTAGAGGAAATAAGGGGGTTTTATGTAACATACTGTGATATTTCTATTTTTTTAAAATATAAACACTTCCAAGGAGATGACAGGCAGGTTCTCTTCTTGAAGCAAATGGAATGAAAAGTATGCACATGTAATGAAGAGACTGCTGGACTGTTGGTAAATGAAATTCACATTTTGACCACAGATAAGGTGCAGCACAAGAATGTTGACTTGTGGCATTTTCTAACAGGATCATACTGGTGTGTTCCTTTGAAGCATGGAAGGGATATATATTCCCATTTACCTGTGTTTAGTCCCATTAATTTTCTAATATAGGGAACGCTCTTTCAAATTGGCAATGCAGTGATGTCCATAACTTTGATAGGTTCTTTCTCTGTAATCTTTCTAAAAATGAAAATCTGTGGTTTGGTGCATGCTACCTCTGCCAAGGATTTTTTATCTTCCTGCATGGTGTCTGCAAATGAGCTTGGTTTTGTTTGTTTGGGGGTGTTAGTTTGTTTTTATTGGGTTTTTTTGCATGCCAAGATAATGCAACGTATCTAAATTAACATGACGGTCTCAAACTCTTAAAATCCCAAAGACTTTTGGGATTTTGCAGATTTTGAATCAGTAGAATAGTACTGTGAACAGAATGTCTGTGTGGCAGACTTTTATCAGAGGCATTTCTAACAGTATATTATTTCTGGTGTAGATATTTCAACAGAGTACATTCATATTCCTGTGTTATTCCTACTATATTGTGACCTTTTGGGAATCAGATCATTCTTGATAAGGTTGTGCCTGGGCATGCCAATAGCTTCTGCATCCAGGCATCTCTACATCTGTACATTCCATTGAGGTATTTTCTGTTTTCATTTAGAAATTGCCTCTATGTAGAGACAGAGGATTTGGCAGAATTGTTTGAGCAGCAGAGACACAATATTACTCCAGTCAGTTACGGCAACTAAAGTGTTAAAGAGTTTCTTAGGTGTGTGCAGAACTCATCTCACTGGGCAAACAGAAGTCTGATGCATCTGAACTTATCTCATATCCCAGAAAACCTTTTGTCCTTGCAAGGCCCAGGCAGATACATGGCAGCCTTCCCCCATGTCACTGTGTGGAGTGCAGACTGGAAATTTTTCCTATATGCTCTGATTTCCATCACGAAAATGTGGCACTTGGTTGTGAATTTTCACAGGTAATTTCTCCAGTTAGCTTTCTTCAGTGATGTATTCTATTTGATGCAATTTTTAAAATTCCTGTCTTCAGTCGTGTGTGCCAGACTTTGCCATCACCTCTCAGTGTCTTCATCGAAGGCACAAGTTCTGCACAGACCAGCAGAACTCTCACGTCTCTTTGGACGTGAATTACATTATGATTTTGTTCTTTCAAAACTAATTATTAAAGCCTCCAGTCAACAAGCAGGAATATGGACTGGGGTAGGTGAGAGATGCTGGATGAGGTTAACAAAGTAGAAGAACAAGACTCAGTGTGTGAAGTGAGGACCAAGGTGGGGTCCAGATCCAGATCCATATTTCACAATCTACTCTTGATACTGAATTTTTACATGTGGAGTTCGACCTTGTTGTGAATCTACCAGCAATGTCTGGGCTACCATTTGTGTGCCCTGTCACACATGAAAACATGGGTTTTGGGCTGAGAAGGCTGGCAGCAAATCATGTTTTTTTTCAGAGCTCTCATCTGCCCCAAGGTGATGGAGCAGCATAGGTGCAGTGTAATGTGCCAGCTGCTGTAGTCACTCCCTAAGTTAAATAATTTGCTTTTTTTGTCTGACTAACATCTCATATACTGGCTCTGAGAATCTTACTGGTATTTATGGTTTGATGGTATTTGAGATGTTCAAAGCACAACTCTATTGTCTGTGGTGACAGTGTGCATACAAACAAAACCCAAACTTTGTGTTTTCCTGCAAAGGAGGCACCCGTATTTCACAGAAATGGTTTGATTTAGCAGATATTCTCTTAAGCACACAAGTGAGACTCTTTGTTTTACCTTTAGCCTTTGTGCATGAAAGAACATATAATCCAGTTCAAGCAGAGGGTAAATACAAACCTGCTGAAAACTCCTTTTTACCAATATGTGTTTTATTCTGTGGCTATGGTCAGCAGCAATAAAAACAAGAGCAAATCTGGTGATACAACCTGGTACGGGAACTTTTTAATTGTAACTACTAATTAATTCTGTTAATTGTGGTGAATTGGAAAGTAACAACATTCAGAAGGAAAAAAAAAAAAAAGCTGTCTGTGGATTTCTCAGCATTAGATATGAGAGAAGTGACTTTGCTGCTAAAGACATGAGGTTTTCTGACAGACAGTCACACTGTGTTTGGCCAGACAGCATATTCTCTATCTGCTCCAGACTACTTAGGGAGATATGCTTGGAATTTTTCAGCAGTTCTTTGTTCCTAAAAGCAAGTAGCCTCAAGGACTCTTGCACTTTATACTTGAACTCCAATGGATAAAGACTAGGTAATAAAAATAAGCTGAAATTGCAGAACCCCTGGTAAAAATTTGATGAACCAGCTGTACCATCCAACACAGCTCCACTTGGTTAAGTCAGGTATTAAAAAACAGCTCTATTCCACCACCCTCTGAAATTTTCCATATCTTTTCTGCTGATATGCTAATATGCTTCCTTCAAAATGGAATAATTATTACAGGACAGAAGTAATTACATTTCCTCCTGTGACATATATTCATGAGGTTGTGGGAAGATGTCAAAGCTCTGTTATTACAAGATTGTTTCTGAGCTTTTTTTTTTTTTTTGAGTCACTGGAATGTAATGCTTTTAGCTTAGAGAACTCTGGCAGCTATGAAACTATCAGAACAACCAGGAGCTGTGGTTTCAATGAATAAGAGAAAAATCAACAAAAAAATATAGCAGCCATTAGTAGCATGTGTAGAAACCATCCCCATGGATTGTCTGTGGACATTCTTACCTGTTCAGTTCTCTGACTGAAAACAGGAAATTATTTCTACATTCCTTAACTATCTCTGATATTGCAATAAGACTGTATGTTCTTTTAAAAGTTATCATTGGCTTCGGTCAGAGTGTTTCTTAACCAAATTGCTCTTCATAACCATTAGTTCCTGAAGTCCACTTTTAGACCTAAATTGTACTTGGCTACTCTCAAGATTTGTCAGCAAATGTCAGTAAAGGAAAAAAAAAAAAAAATCATTGCATAATTTATCAAGCTAGAGTTGGAATTTAAGTGAAAGAAAAAAATGTGTCAGCTCCATCTGATCCAATCAAACCACAGGATAAACACATAAGCTGATACATAATGTATCATCCTAAATTTTAGGATAGAAAGCCAAGATAGATGTTGTTTGTACATCTCATGGAACACCCTTTTTACTGCAAATTACAGCAATCTGAATAAGCAAAAGAAGATAGGTAGGAGTGAGAGGAAACATTGTTTAATCTCTATTTTAGATATGAGAAAATGAAATACTATGACTCAAAAGTGGTACTTACAGTAACTGAGTAACTACTTCATTTCCTCACCTGAATACAGAATGAACTTGTAAAATCTGATTTGTTTGACACTGTAGACAAAGACTGGAACATTTCAAAGCTGGAGCTAGGTTTCTGAAGGTGCAATACAACAAATATTTGGGA